CCATCCCCTCATCCCAAGCCAGGGTGCCCTGCCTCCCAGCCATGCTCCCCAGGTGGGCTCCTCACCTCAGCCTGGAGCTGCTGGCAGATAGTGGCATACTGGCTGATATGACAGTCCAGACTGACCACATTGCTCTTCAGCTGAGATGGGGACACAGGGGAGAGATCTGTTTGTTCATTCAAAGTAGTTTTAAGCAACCACTTCAAAAGGCCAGGCATTGCGCCAGGCACCTCACTCATATTCCCATGACTCACACTCAGGACTGAGAAACTGACCTGGGAAGGTCAGTGGCTTGCCTGAGACCATAGCAGAAGCAGAGGTTGCCCTTGAACCCAAGACCCCTGACTGCCTGACTAATACACTCTCATCAGGCCAGGGGCTTTTCAGTAGCAGCTCCGGGAAAGCCAGGGTTCCCTAGAGGAGGCAGGGGAAACCAGAGCAGCTCTGCCCTTATCTGTGTTATATGTTGGCCTTTATGTTGTTTTGCTGCTAAAAACAAGTCTAGAAAAGATCACTGGCCAATACTTGGCCATCCCTTCCCATTGCCACCCTCTTGAGACGATTCTGCCTCAGTCATCCAATGCTGTATTTTACTCTTTTTCCAAGTCTTGGAGACCATCCTGCCTCTCCCCCCAGTGGAGACTTCCCAAGGACAGGGACTGTGTCACTTCTACCACAGTTTCTCTGAAGATAGAGGCTTGGGAATGTCTTCCCTCTGCCTGTGGGAATCCTTGCTCCAGGCACCGGAGGACGCCTGTGGGTCCTGTCCCTTCCTTCACCCAGCCTGGGGGCTCCCCCCACACCAGGCTGGCACGCACCGAAAGTTTGATCTCCTTGGCCCGGTCGGCATACTTGAGGGTGTTGTAAGTGTCCTCATATGTCAGGCTGGAGGAGCTGATGGCAGCAATCATCACCGTGCGGCAGTTGCCCCCAATGGAGTCCTTGAGCAGACGGGTCAGTTTGCTGTCCCGGTAGGGCACGTGAGACTTGCGGCCCTAAGGGGCAGAGAGCGGGCTTGGGGTGAGGTGGCTGGACTAGACAGACACAGGCTGGGACCTGGCAGCCTCTGGCCCAGGGCTGTAGGGAGGGACCCTTGGATCTGGGCCCTCAGTAGCTGTCCTGTGGGGGACCCTTGGTCTGTGCAGCTTTACCTTGGCATCAGCGAGGGCATTGAGGACATTGATGAGGGCCAGCAGAGAGCGGTTGATGTTGGCACCTTCCCGCAGCCGCTCCCCCTTTGCATGGGTGTTAGATGCCCGCTCCGAGCCAGCCAGGTCAATCAGGCTCATCTTGGCCACTTGAAGGGCCTGGGTCAGACCTGGAACGCGGTCCTGCTGCTTCACGAAGATCTGGGGGCAGAGTGCAGGGGTGAGGGGCGCTGGGCATCAGAAGCTGTGTCTTCAGGCTCTGACCCCCAATCCCTCTCACCTGGAAGATGGCATGGGAGCGGGAGGAAGTAGCATTGGCATCAGTGGGGTGCTGTGTGCGGTTACGGTTCCCCCTGGTCAGCATCTCCAGCAGCTGCTCAGCTGTGGTTGGCTACAGGGATGACCAGGAAGGGAGCTGTGGTTTCCCCCACCAGGAGGGCTGCTCTTCAGAACCCATGTCACCAGCACAGCCATGGGATACGGGGCACCCCCAAACTGCCCAATGAGGAAACCCTAGAGGACCAATGGGACTACTTGTGCCACCTGAGCCCAATCTCACACCTGGTGGAAGGAAAGTCCTTGTACCACCACCCCCTTGTCGGGGTCCTCACGGATGGCAAGGGGTCCCTTGGGCTCCAGGAGGTCGTGGATCTGCTCATTGTACACCTGAGGAGAGAGGAAGCAAGGGAGAGACCTGAGGAACAGGGCCCATCAGGAAACCTCTCCCCTAGGCACTGCGAGGGCTGAGCTGCTGGGCAGGGGAAACGTGACCAGACACCACAACATGAGCATCACTTTGCCAGATGATGTTAAGTGACAAGAGCAGGTTTAGTTCACATGCAGTCTTTCTCTGAGCTGTTACTGCCCTCTGGGCTCTCACTGGCCCCCATCTGCCCACTTCCTACCACCCTTTCCCCCACTACTCACTCCATTCCACTCCCTCTTGAGGTGGTTGTGAGAATGAGGGATGGGGCGACCCAGTCCCGGGGAGAGGACATTCCTACCTCCTGGTAGCTGATGAGCACCTCGAATCGCTTCTCCTCCTGGCGGGCCTCCAGTCGCCTGTACAGTTCCATAGTGGTCAGGTACATGATGCCGGGGTCCCCTTCTGTTCCCAGCATGGTGTGTGTCTTCCCGGCCCCAGTGGCCCCATAGGCAAACACTGAAGAGGACAGAGTGGGGAGTAGGGCGGTGGCAGGGCCAGACCGACCTTCTCTAGTGGCTCCCCCTATGCATTTCCACCCGGCTCGCCCTTCCCTCCGCAAGCCCCTTCCTTTGCTCCCATCTGCACAGTCCCACTGCTCCTACCACTCACGCCCCCACGCTTGCACTGCAGCTTGAGTTCCTCACTTCTACATCCTGGTTTTCCCACAGGTCTGGGAATTTGAGGGCAAAGGGGTCTCCAAGGTGGGTGGGGAATCTCCCTTTCTGAGGGATGCCTTCTCCCTCTGCTGAAGGCCCATGGCTCTTTCCCTCCTATCACCTCGGTTTAGAACCACACACTTGTGGGTGTGATTTTGATTAGTGTCTTCTCCCCACCTCTAGGCTGTAAGTATCAAGGGGACAGGAACCATGTCTGTCTGATGTGCTACTGTATCCCAGGGCCCAGGAGAGTGCCTCACACAGGAGAAGAATGAATGGGGACCCACAGAGAACGCAAGGGCCAGAGCCCTCCTCAACAAGTGCCCAGCTGAGGGGAGGGCACCTGTCAGAAGACACACAAAACCCTGAGAAGGAAGCAGGGAAAGGTGGCTACCAACCAGGGCTCTCCCTCCTCCCTGACCAGATTCTCACCTGAGCAGTTGTAGCCCTGGAGGAAGCTGTCCAGGATTCTGTGCGTGGTGTGCTGGAACACGTCCTGTTGGGTGGCCGCCTCACCAAAGACCCGGTCAAAGACAAACGTCAGGTCTTTGCCCTTCTTCTTGGGGCCATCGTGGATGTTGCCCCACTTCAGGCCAAGGAAGCCCCCATCGGGCTCCTCGGGGTCAAACACCAGCACCTGCTCATCCACCACCTGAATCACAGGCCTCCGCTGGCTCTCCAGCTCCCGTGGGGTGGCGGGCCGCACCCGAACCACAACCTGCACCATGCTGTCCTCCACCGCCATCACCACGCAGCACCTGAGCAGAGGCACAATGGAGATGAGGACCAGCCAAACCCAGGCTTGTCCAGGTGCCCTCTCAGCCTGGCATTCAAGGCCTCCTCCCACCCCCACCCCCACTGCCGGTCTGTTTTATACTTCAAGAATGAGAATATTGGTGCCAGCACCAATTATTAATAAATCTCTCTTTCCCACTTGAAATACCACGTTTGTCATGTCCAAATGATTGTTTTTTCAGAGGCCTATTACCGGGCTTTTTGTTATGTTCCACTAATTTGTCTACTCCTGTGCTAACACCACACTGTTTCCATTCCATTCCTTTACAGTATGCTTTTTATCGAGTAAGGCAAGGACCCCCCTCCACTAGTGTTTCTTTTTCATTATTTTCTTGGCTATATTCAGACATTTATTGTTCTATTTGACTTTGAGAAAATGTTATCAATTCCATCCCCAACCCAGAACACCTCCTACTCCCCACAAAAACCTTATTGGAATTATAATTGGAATTGTATTACATTTACATATTTATTTTATATTAAATTTTTTCATGCAAAAACATGGCTATTGCCTTTCTGTTTGTTCAGATATTTTTCATGTCCCTCAGTAAGATTTTAGTTTTCTTTTCTCTTCAGATAGTTCTGTAATTGCCCTTTTAATGTAATTCCCAAGTATTTTATGGACTTAATCACTCTTATGAATAGAACACCTCCTCCCATCTCTAATTTCAGGTGGTAATTGCTAGTATGGAGAAACGCAATTGATTTGTATATATTTGCCTTATAACTACCACCCTCAGACTCTCTTATTAATTCCAACTGTATTTTTTTAAAATAGTGCTTATTGGGTTTTTCAGAATATATACTATATATCAGAAAGGAAAATAATTTTTTTACCTCTTTTCTCTATATTTATACCAAATATTTTATTTCTTTAAAAAAACTTTTTTTTTTAATCCTCACCTGAGGATATTTTTTCCATTGCTTTTCAGAGAGAGTGGAAGGGGGAGAGAGACAGAGAGAAATATCGATGTGAGAGAGACACGCTGATTGGCTGCTTCCTGCATGCGCCCCGACTGGGGCCAGGGAATCAAGCCTGCAACCAACGTATGTGCCCTTGGCCGGAATTGAACCTGGGACCCTTCAGTCCGCAGGCCAATGCTCTAACCACTGAACCAAACTGGCTAGGGCAATATTTTATTTCTTAATTATTGCAATCCCTAGAACTTCCACAACGATGTTGAATAATAATGATGACAATGGGCATCCCTGTCTTGTTTTTGATTTTAAAAGAAATGGCTTTAGTGCTCCACTATTTAGAAATTAGTTTTGGATATATAGTCATTATCATACTAGTAATTTCTTCTATTCTTATTTTACTTAGAGCTGTTATTAGAAAGGTCTAAAATTTTACCTAATGTTCTTTCAGCATTTCCTGATATGTGTTTCTTCTCCTTTATTTTGTTGAAATGGTAAATTATTTGATATTATTTCTGGTATCAAACCAACCATGCATTCTTAGAAAAATCCTACCCTGACCTTGCTGAAGCTTTAAGTTTTTAAATGGTCAAGTGTGTCCAATTTTCTTTTATGATATTATGTCATATTTAAGAAGAGATTCCTTCCCCAAGGTAATAAACACTTTTATTATATTCCTGTCTAATATTCTTTCTGTTTAAAATTTAGGTATTTATACAGATGAAATTTACTTTTTTTGTGAATGGTATGAGGTTTCTAGATTTCTTTCTAAATGGTAAGCAATCTTCTCAAGGTCATTTATTAAATAGTGTTGTGTGTTTTTTTTTTTTTTAGAGAGGAGAGAGAAAGAGAAAAAGAGAGAGAGAGAGATAGACAGACATTGACCTGCTGTTCCACTAATTTATACATTCACTGGTTGATTCTTGTATGTGCCCTGACTGGGGATTGAACCCACAACCTTGGTGTATCGGAATGATGCTCTAACCAACTGAGCTACTCCACCAGGGCTAAACAGTGCTTTCTTTCTCAATTTCAAATGCCACATTTAACATAGCTAAATTCTCCTATAAACATGAATTTGTTTGTGGACTCTCCATCCTGTTCTGCTGTGTCCATTCCTTTTCCAGTAATTATTGTGGTTCTGTAATATCTCATCTCATTGTTCTTTTTCTTGGCTATTCTTCAGCATCTTGCCTGGCATATAATTTTAGAATCAGCTTACAGAGTTATTCTATGAAAAATCCTGCTAAAACTTTAATTGGGAGTACTTTGAATTTATAGGTTAATATGAGGAGAATTGGCATCTTTATAATATTAAATCTTCCCATCTAGGAACATAGTATTTCTTTTTATTATTCACAACTTTATAATCCTCAGTAAAATGTTACAGCTTTCTTCACTTGAGTTTTGTGTATTTCTTGATAGGCTTACTACCAGTTATTGTATAGTCTTTATTATATTGTGAATAGGCTCTTTTGCAAATTACATTTTCTAATTCATTTTTGCCAGAATATAGGAAAGCAACTGACTTCTGTATGCAGATCTTGTATCTGGCTGCATTACTGAACTCCCTTATTAGTTCTAATAGACTGTCATCGATTCTCTTAGGTTTTTCAATTAAATGATGGTATAGTTTGCAAATAATGACAGTGACTCTCTATCTTTAGCTCTTCTATATTTAGTTCCCCACCCTTCACTGTCCATTAGGAATGGGTGTTAAATTTTATCAGATGCTTTCTTGGCACTAGCTGAGATGATCACACAGTGTTTCTCATTTAATCTGTTAATGTAGAGGGTGACATGGATATATTTCCTAATGTCGACCTGGCAATAATTCCAAACACTTATTTACTTATTCCCTCTTGTATTCCCCTCAGACCTCTCTCCTTGTTTTTCTCGTTTCTGCTTGAAACCATCTTACCAAGGGTAAAGATGGAATTTTTGGAATGCAGGAGTCACAGATATCCTGGAAAAGTCCAACCCAACTCTAGGGATATATTAACAGGGGTAAGAAACAAGGGCTGTTCCTGGGGGATATGAACAGATGAGTGCTTTCCCAGTAAAGACTAGGTCCCGCTGATAGGACCAAGGTCTTTCAGCAAAGAAAACTAAAATTTCTACCTAATACTCCAGCAAACAACTCATGCTTTCCTTTGGGAATGAGGCAGAATTGAGCTGATTTGAAACTCCTATCCCCCACCTCAAAACTTCTTAATTTCTCCCTACACAAAACAAGATATCAACCAATAATAATCTTTTTACATGTGTATAATTTTTTCGTGTTCCAGCAATTGGACTGCAACTGCTTACCTACTATATGAGGGACTGTTTCAAGCGCCTTATGAGTATGATCTCCTTTCATTTCCATCACAATCCCACAAAACAGATAGTATTTTATACTCATTTTTTCAATGAGAAAATTGAGACCGAGAGGGTTTAGCAACTTGCCCAAGATCCCAATGCTAGTGATGAAGCCTGGTTCCAAGCCAGGCAGTCTGACTGCAGAGCCCGCACACCGCCTTATAATGAATGATGTATAATATCATGCTTTCATGATCACACTGTTATAATTGTCCCTTACGCTTTTTAATAATTATAATTTCTTTTATGTAACTAGCCTAATGTATTCTGCAAACACTTTCAGATATATGGATTGTACCTAATTTTCAACACTCAGAGAGAGTTCCTGTCTCATTTCCATCCCCACAATCACCCTCTGCCTTCACCCAGGGAAGTGAAGACAGAGGGTACTTGACCCCACAGTCTGGGTCTACACTGGCTGCCTTAATGGCAGACCCAGCTCCTGACAGGGAGGGTTTCAGCTGAGGAGGAGCGACAGAGCAGCCTAACATTCTAAGCAGGAAATTAAAAAGGGCACTGGCAGCGGAGTGCGCATAACCTTTACAGTTCTCTCCTCTCCGCTTCCTAAGGGCCAGTGAGGCAGCCTGTTTGCCTAATGAGATGTTTTCCTCCTTCCTGAAACAGCGCTGGGGGCATGGGGTGGGGGTGACACTTGGCATGGCTGCAACTAGGACACCTGGGTCCTGGTCTCTGCTCTGCCCCTGACCGGTGGGAGGTCTTTCCACCAGCCACACCACATCCATACACCAGACTCCCCCCTTTGAGAGCCAGAGAGAGAACAGCTACAGATCTGCTCCGGCCCCAGGGGGATGGGGAGATTAATGAGAGAACGTTTGTCAAGTTTGCTTTGATCCTCAGTTGGAAAGAGCATTTCAGCCCAAAGTATGAGGGAGATGATTCTTTAATAAGATCTTCAGGGTTCTGAGCCTGCCACAGTCACGTCCTGTTTCTAACCCAGGGCAGCTCATTAAAAGCCTGAGGCTAGTTCACTGCTGAGCTGGGGCTGGGAAGCCCAAACTCAGTTGTTTTCAGGATAGTTTCCTCTGCCCACCCTCAGAGGAATAGGCGGAAGACGACAGAGGTCCTCAGAAGCCCCTGGAGAAGAATTTCTGAGGACTTGAGGGGATCCGCCTACAGACATTGAAGGCTGGGAAGGCAGGCGGTGCCTAGCCCTCGGATGTTCTATTTTTATAGGGATTGCTGTAGTCCCCTTCATCGCTCCTTCACAACCCTCACACTTGTTTCTTGTCCTTAAGATCCAAGAAAGCAGGACCTTCTTCTGATACAGTCTGTATACTGCAGATGCCTAGGCACCATATCCAGCATGCAGTAAAGGCTGTATAATATTTGTTCTATGGATGAATGAAGGCCAGAGAAGAGCAGAGTCTGAATCTAAAAGTCTAAAAGTAATTACTGTTATAGCTAACATGTATTGAGCGCTTACTATGTATTAGGCCCTATGCTAAATGCTTTACAAACAATGTCACTTAACTTTCACAGCAATCTCATTCTGTAGTTATATCCCAACTCTACAAAGAAAACTGAGGCTTAGGAAGGAATTTGTCACATGGACAGTACGTAGCAAGGCCAGAATTTGACCTTGTTCAGACTATCAGCAGAGGCATTACTCTTCCTACCAGGCCATTCTGCCCTGTAGCTGGGCTTTTGTGGCTCCCACCTCTCCTCACCTTAGTACCTACAGGGCAATGCCCAAAGACCACTGGTTCTTTCTGTGATTGGTTGTG